TCTAAAAACAATAATAAAAAATGTGAACAAATGATGTCATAAATGTCACTATAAGTGTCAAAATGTAGCATTTTAAAAAATTAAATTGATCTGTTCGAAGATTTTTTGAAAAATGACTCATAACAAAGATATGAATTTCGTGCGTTACTTTTGGTTTAGTCTGTATTATAATTTTATGCGTTATTATTTCTAAAGAAAGTTGTTAAAAAAGACGGCCCCCCTCTCTAACTACGGACCTGTTTTCTTGCTTTTAAGCTTGGAAGAAATGTATGAGATTTCTCGAAACGATAAAAATTTGGAAATAATTTAACAGCTCATAAGTTTAGCGTTATTGCAATACTGACAAATTGGTTACAATCCTCAAACCTATCTCTTCTAAAATATTACCCATCTTTCGACGTGATTAATAGAATCAAAGAAATCCAATTAAATTTTATACTTTCTACGTGTTTTAGATAAAATTTTGCAAGTTAAGTTGTTAATGTTACAATGAGAAAACAAATAAATTATAAATATAATAACACCATAAAATAGCAAATATTGGGAAAGAGAATGAAGCCTTGAGGAGTCACCTTGCCCTTATCCAACAGTAGAATTAGTTTAAGCTTTAATTGTTCCGATTTTTCAGTTATTTGCCTTGAACTGTGACACCTATTGAGTCTATTAGCGAAAGGTGCGGAGATTAACAAGAAATATATCAAACAGATTTGTAATTTTTTTATTTATGGACTGTTAGAGTTACGAAAGTCACTTCAAATGTTATATTGTCAGAAAAAACTAAATCGCTTTTGATTATCGATTTATGAAGCTTGTAAAGGTTTGGACCATTTGTGATAGTTGTTTTAAATACATATTTCAAAATGTCACATGATTTACTATCTTCATTATTGTGGAGGTAGATGATCACCTTTTCAACGCATTTTATTCATTTTTTAAATGAAAATCAATATTTCATAAAAATTACAGACTGAAAGATTGAGTATTTTTAGCAGCAAGGTTGAACGTGATTTAAATTAAATCTGTTACACTAATGATATGTTTTACTGCATTACGGATATGGTAGAGGTGACATTGAAAAAATTGGTCAAAACTGTTATTATTTTCTATCACGAATTATGAGTGAAAGTTCCAGAAACTGTTTCTTTTGTGGAAGTCTATTACCCGCTTCGCCGACTAGTTCAAAGGTTCTCAAAGAAAAATCGTGATTCTTTCGTTTAAAAGTAGACAACTTTTAAATTGTTAATTTTCCATGTTGTATGGTACAATCGTCAATTCTGAAATAAATTAGTTACACCCGCTGGAATTATTATTATTGCAAATGATTGTGTTGTAGGATTGTGCAATTTTCGTTTCTTGACAAAAGGTTGTTTATTACTTGCACTACATTCTCGGTTATGGAATGCCTTGATTTGATGTCAAAAGTCAATCATATCTCACACTGAAGCTGAAATTAGTAAATAATGAATGCAATTTACAAAATTTTGAAATGTTATAAAACACAACTAAAACTTTTGCAACAATGTTAAAACAAAAAAGAAGTGACATATTTTGAAAAAAACATCTGAAGAAAGCTTTTTTGAAAAAAATAGAATTATCTGTTATTCTCTACAATAAGGTTCTTTTTTATATATTTTTTATTTATATGTACTTAACATTTAGAAAAAAATAAATGGTGCCAAAATAAAGTCCAATT